CCCGGCCTGTTCAAGAACTGCTTAGGCGGGGGCTGAACAGGGCCTTTTAAAATAATACATATATGTAAGTAAAAAACACACATGCACACACATACATACATGACATACATGCACACATMTACACCTCCACATGCCATCACAGTCAGGGGCTCTGCCGAGCAMGGCTGCACTGCTAGATGGCAGCTCAACCACACTAGGTTTTGCAGACACCCCTACCCAATGAGTCCCAGCCTTCAGTTTGGCAGCCAAACTCTACAAAACCATATTTTGGTTCTTCTTGCAGTTTTAAATAATCTTTTTTAACTTCTCTAACTAAATGCCCTCATGATGCACTTCAAGAGGTCTGCCTTGTCATGACGGGTGCAGARTATGAGGTATTTATCCAGAAGGATTCAAGGCTTGTAACAAATAAGAACATAGGACATGATTATGTGCAGGTTCTCTAAAATAGCTTCACAAATATCTACTCTGTTTGKTTTTTTTTCCTCTATTTTTATTGAAACTTTGTACAGAAGTTTTAAACATTTCCATACAATACTTTTAGACAGGACGAAATGCCATGGTAAAGGAATGTAAACTGCAAGAAACACAGTCTGAAGTATCCAAATACTCTCTAATAAGAGTTTCAGTCTGAAGACTAATGCAGTAGGCAAAATAATATGCATACAGTATACAAAGAACAGTATACACAGGGCCAGCAATGCTAACTATGAAAATTTTGCATCAGATTTACTTCAAAGATTTATAGCAATATGATAACTCTATACACTAGACCAAAATTAATTTATCATACATTGTTTCTATGACAAAAAGCTTGTCATTATGGACAGTAGCAACTTACAAGTATAATTAAGCTGTATTAATCTCATTAACACTTCTAAATCTATATTCCTACTACAATATTTTTTCTGTATATTGTCTTATAAGATCTTAACAGACCTTCAAATAACACTTGACCAAGAGAGACCTGGACCCAGTTATAGTGATCTTATCTACATGCCCATTTGGCTTATTTCAAAAAAAGAAGGGACAAAGGAAAAGGCAGGTTTCAAACGCTATATGATATCATTTGGTTTTGGTCTGAAATGTATTTTAGTTAATAGTTTAAAAAAAAAAAAAAAGGCAATTCATTAACTGGTATTTTATATAAAATCTGCAGAAAAAATACAACAGCGACAAAAAAAACAAAAATACTTCACAGATATCTAAAAAACATCAGAGAAACAAGGTAAAGCAGCATCACTTTGACACTGTGCTTTAAAAATAAGAAGATGAATGAAGAGACTGCTCTAGTGATATTAGAAAATTTGCTTTCTTCTTGAAGAAGACTACTAACATTTTGCACAGCAACTATTTTTATAACCACCTCATTTAAAAACGTGTATTCATAGACACAAGAGAATTGTCATATCATTACCATTTTTGCTCAAAGTGTCTGACTTTACACAGTGAAACTGATAATGCTAAGTGTCACCAGATGTCACTATACCATGAATTCAATATTAGAACAGAAGTGAAGCAAATGCCTTTGAACCAACACCATAAAAGAAATCATAGAAAGTGTTTTGTAAACAAAACAAACCACTTTGCAAAACAAGAGAGTTCAGAGATCTCACAGTGAAATCAGAAATCCTAATTATATATGTTTACATTCTAGGACTACTCTTTACCTTAGGCCAATTAAAGCACATTAAACCATTTAATTATATACAAACATTTTCTTAAAAAAAAAAATTAAAACATTGCACACAAGTTTGCGTTTGAACATCACATAGCAAGGTTAGTTTTATTTTCAAAACAAGTACATTTAAGGGCACAGAACATACAGAATACCAAATTAACAGATGAGTATTTTTGCTTCTCTATACATGCTAAATCCAAAGATTTCCTCAAAAAAGTTAGAGCGTAGTGACCCCAACTTCTTCCATATATCCTGTTCTCTGAAAGGGAGCGACTCCCAACACCTCCTTTATCTTAGGATTTAAAAAAATATATATATAAAAAAAATAAAGCTGTATGTTTTAAAGTTGTAAGCATCTTCTGCTTTAAGTGTTCATGCAGAGATCCTTTGATGGCTCTGCCCGCACCACTGTAACCTGGTGGGAAATCCTTTGCTCTACTCAGTTACAGTACTTACACGACTTGCATCAGAAGTCTCATGCTGGCCTTTCTGGGACTAGGGTGAAAAGGGGAACACAGAGCTGGAGAAGTAAAAAATACACAAGGGACAGGCAATCCTGAAGGCCGGTTTGATTTCTTACAAACTCTTACCATTTCCTTTCAGGTATTAGTAAAAGCCAAAAGAAAACAGTAACAACTTTGGCAAAGAAAAGCATCTAAGTATTCCTTAAATAAGAACAGTCTCCCRCAACATAATATTAAGCTTTCAAGAAGCCTCCTTTTTTTTTTTTTAATAATAATAATAACAACAATAATAAAAGACTCCTAACAAATTTCTGGGAGGAAATTCAAATACCTTAGCAGAAAAATAAGTTAAGGGGAACAACAACAACAACAACAAAACAAGGTGTCACTCCAAAGTAATGTTTTCAAGACTGTCATTCTACGTTCAAGGCAATAAATAAACCATCACCACAGAGACAGAAGCGAGTGTCTTTCTGGATCTATCCCTGCACAACCAGCTAATCCCACATAGGAGGAAGCCAGTCATTAGATGTCACTGAGCTGACTGTCCCCTATGGGAGATAATCTGTAGTTTGACGAAACCAAAATGTTGGTGTTTAAAACCAAAACATATTAACCTGGGTTCATATCTCTTCTGAGCAGATCATGATCAGAAGATTAGCAAAGGCATGTTTACGCTATAAAAMCCCCTGAAGTAACTTCTTCTGACACTGCAGTCTATAACACAGGCCAACGTACTTGAGAACCAACAGACAGTTTGCATGATGCTTTGTTTTTTTCTTTTTCCGATAAAGGAGTTTTGTTAAGCAGTTATTTGCAGCAAAGAATATTAGCAAGTTCTATGATCTCTAAGACACGGAAAGGGATCACGACTGAGGCGGCCAACATCAGGCAAAGGGTAGCAAAGAAAGGCATTTTTAAGTGACTGGAGAGAAAAAACACTGGAGAAATAATTTGCCTAAAAGCTTCTTCACAATAACAGTTCTAAAGATGGGGCGATGCAGAGAATTACTTTATTAAGATTCTGACTTGCTGCCAATTATTACTGTGATTAATATGGCAACTTGTTAGCTTAGCAGAAGTAAGAATTCATTAACTGGAATCTGGAGAACCTCAGATTCAAGAGTCAGAGGTTACACTGCACATTTGCAAAGGATTATGGCTCCGCAAAACAGCCAAAAGATTAATTTCATCATGGGCCTGATTGCAATTATACTGAACAGGATACACACATCCTGTATAATAACTATTTAAACAGGGTTTTGTTTAAATAGCAAACGACTTGGAGGGAGAGAAGAGGAAAAACAACCTGAGAAAGAGACATTATAAGCCAATTCAGGTGGCAGAAAAGCCATGCCTTCAGCTTCATAACCACATAAGGCACCCTGGAAGAAAAAGCAAGCGAGGATGAAGCACGAAGCAGCCAAGCAGAAGGGTCCCTGAGCTAACCTGGCTTCCCAGGTTAGATGGTAATGCATCCACTGACACTGGAGCCAAGAGCATCCAAGCTCTGCGGCTGCTTCCAAGCACTGGAAGCATCCAAGCACCAGCAACTGATAAAATGACGTGCCAAGTTAGTAAGGGACAGTGCCTGCTACACAAGTCTCTCTTGTCCCGTGCCAAATCAGGCACGGTAGCCACATCACAGCCTTTTAAGCAGGTATCACTGGTGAGACTTATTCTTACTCTCCGTAAACCCTTATTCCTCACCCCACAGGCATCAGATGTGTTTTGCCCTAGGTTACTTCATCCTGCATAGAAAGTGAACTATGTTTTACAACTCTTTCTGCTTACAGCATCATCCTGCCTTATCTCACCCCTTAGCTCACTCCTCACCCTTATCCCACCCCTCTCTGAAGAACGGGCTTGACTTTTCATTAACTTATATTTCACAGACTGGAATCTGATCTTTAGAAAGAATTCAAAAACCTTTTTCTGAATGAAGCCAGAGACACCAACTCTAAGAAAATGTGTCTTTTCATACTGATAAAAACATCAAGACTCACGTACAGTAGTTCTTCTCTCTTCTTCTGCATGTACTTTAATGCAGCCTCTATAGTAATTACTATATTTCCCACTATGGTACTCTCTTTTCCAGTGGCAACAATTAAATATAGCAGAGAAAAGTGGGATAACTTGTCCTCCATTTAAAATCTCAGAACTAACAGTACTCAATTGCTTAAAAAAAAAAATCTGGAAGTTAACCAGTTTCTCTGCCAATATGTATTACATATTACCCTGCCAAAAGCTATTTAGACGGCCTACAGATTCAGCTTACAAGGACACTTTACTGAAAAAAAAAAAAAAAAACAATTTCTCTGGCAGTCAATGGTAGGATTTACCCAAATTTAATCTCCACAGAACTAATTCATCCACTAAAGTTCGTCTCTCATGTATTAGTAAGTTAATGCCAGGGAATCATTCACAGAATCACARGATGGTTGAGGTTGGAAGGGACCTCTAGAGATCATCCAGTCCAACCCCCTGCTCCAGCAGGGACACCCAGAGCACGGGGCACAGGGCGGCATCCAGGCGGGTTTGGAAGATCTCCAGAGAAGGAGACTCCACAGCCKCCCTGGGCAGCCTGTGCCAGGGCTCTGGAACCCTCACAGTGAAGAAGTTCCTCCTCACATGGAGATGGAACTGCCTGTGTTGCAACTTGTACCCATTTCCCCTTGTCCTGTCACTGGCCACCAGTGAGAATAGCTTGGCCCCTTCTCTGTGATTCACAGAATCACAGAAGGGTTGAGGTTGGTAGGGACTTCTAGAGTAGATTATCTAGTCCAGCCCCATTTCTTGGTCTCTACCTTTTATGCTAATACAGTGATCATGGTCCCTTGGACGGCTTTGGTCTCTCCAGTTAGCACTGTCCCAAACAATTCCCAAGACAAGCTTGGGCACTAGCACAATGGCAGGGATCCTTCTTAAAGGCAGCCCAGATATGACATCCTGCTTTGGAGCCTAAAGGAGTTTTATAGCATGGCCAGACTGCGTCAGCTGGCCTCAAGGCCAGAAAACCATTTCCGACTACATTTAGTTTATGGAAACTCATGTAGCCACACAGAAGTGTGACTAAGTCAGCGCTCTTGAGCTCACAGTGCCGCTCATCCTGCTAAGGGTGAGAGTATCTGGGATGGTGGCACATTCCTTTATTTCATAAAGGGGGAATTGAAAAAGAAATGTGAAGCTTTAGGACCTAATGCTGCAACCTTTCATAGTCTGTCAGCTTCCATCTGCTGCCTGCACGCAGAAGTCCTGGAGACTTAGAATTGGTCTGGGGTTTCTCTAGTGGGAGAAGCAAAGCTTAGTGCCTCAGGGTCCCTAATCTTCTGTGCTTGCCTGAGAAAGCTTTTTTTAATTTTTTTTTTCCAATGAATCAAAAGAGTTTACCTCAATGGGCAGCAACACAGGTTACTGCTGTGTTTATTTTCTCTCTCCTGATGTGGTCTCCCTTGTCAGACTTTTTGTCTACCCACTTTCCCTACCCTCACAAAGCAGCAATAAGGTTGCACAGTACTTCCTTTTAGCTGCACGCAGAAAGAGGAAAAAAAAAMCAGACACATTTCAGCATGTTTACCAAGCAAACATATGCAAAGGCTGGCATCATCCATCTCTTTTCCCATGCGGTAGAACCTGTGGGGAAGTTTTGCCCTGATAAGAAACTAACCCTAAGTATGTAAATGACAAAAAAAAGGTTAAAGATTGGGGGACTGAAGAAGGCATTGAATATGCATTCTTGCCTTTGCATTTGTTACAAAACACAAATAAAGAGAGCAATCCTTTTCCCTTCTCCTCAACTGCCCGTTTGTCCTCTCCAGGGTTTTTTTTTCTTCCCTGTTTTTTTTTCTTTCTGAAATACAACATTTTTTCTATAACGGCATTTACAGTGCGAACAAACAAAAGTTAGACAAACATTCCCTTACAGAGAAAAAAGACAAAAAAAAAGCTACTAACAGGTATCATGTTCTGAACAGTATACGATGAGACAAAATACCATCCTGTTGTTCCCGTAAGAACTGAGAAAACAAACAAAAAAAACCCCTAGAAGCAGTGAGCAAAATTGGTACGTATTATGTCGGCCAAGGTAAAACAGCCATGTAACACAGACCACCTGTACAACGGTGAGCATTACAGTCTTACATTTGAAGTCTTCCAACACGGCTTTAGTCGTTTAGATTTGACACTTGCGTAAGCGACCCCTTGTTATCTTCACCTTCGTGCTGACTGAGCTCGATGAACTGACTGACCTCCGCAGCCACCCGCCCGCCTTTGGTATATTTATATAGGTGTACATGGAAACAGGAAAGGTTAGCACTGCAAATGGGGGGCAGGAGGGGCGGGAAAGGGAGCAACCTGAAGGGAGAACAGGAGCAGGAAACCCCACGCAGCGTGTTCTGCCTTGGGCAGCAGGGCTAGCACGACACGTCTCACATGGGTCTCTCCATCGGCTAAGGTGATGTGACAGTTACAGCGTAAACAGTGCCTGGGTTGCGCACATGTTGTTTGGAAAAGAAGGAGAAAAAAAAAAAACAGACACATAAAAAAAGGAAACTCCAGAGACCTGTATCAACTTCTGTATGTTTAGCCATACCCTTAAAAGTTCACTATTCACTCACAACGAGAAGTAGACAAACATGAATATTCCGAGCGAACAGACACAGACCAGTCCAGTATTTAGTAATAGTTTAACTTTGGGAGTCTCTTCCAGCATTTGTAAACAGACAGTCTCTTCCTCGATCTCCCGAACGGCTCGCTTGTTCATGTTTTTACTTTTAAAGCCACAGAACCAATCTATGAATTTCAGATGTCTCTCCCGCTCATCGCTTTCTTCCTCGCGCTTCTTCTCGCCCATCAGAGCCGCTTGTCCGTTCGAGTAACAATCAACCGGCGTCTCGACCTCCGAGTGACTTACAGAAATCACCGGGTTGCTGTCATCCCTGCAAGTTACCAGAAGATTGATATCCTCAGGCTTAATATTTTTAAGGTTTTCTTCCGATTTGCCATTTGGCATGATATGGTTAGCGTTTTCATTGCACTTTAAGATGCTCTTTTCTTGCGCTTTGTACAGCTCCCCCTTTGCGGCCGTCTCCTTTACGCTTCTGTTCTTCACGGCCCAAAACGTGGTCGTTCGGACCTGCTCCTTGGTGGGCGGCGGCGTGAGGAGGCTCACGATAACGGTCACGATCCCAGTGATCCAGAAGAGAGCGGTGGCGACGTACATGTAATGGATGTTCTTGATAAAGCCGGGCCTAGTATCCGGCTGGTTGCACTCTGGGGCGCGATAGATAAAGGCCAGCACCAACCGTATCGCTCCGAGCGCGAAGCCGGCCATGCCGCCGTAGAAGGCGCCCTGCTCATTGCAACGCTTCCAAAAGATCCCCATAAGAAAGAGCGCGGCCACCGGCGGAGTCAAATAGTCGGCCACCTCTTGAATGTAAAGGTACATCTGACCTCCTTGCATCTCCACTATTATGGGCACCCAGGCAATGCTTATCACTACCATGAAAGCCACAAAGACTCGTCCTACGATCATCAGTTCTCTGGACGTCGCGCTCTTCCGGATGAGCTTGTAGACGTCAAGGGTGAAGATGGTGCTGGCGCTGTTGAATATGGAGTCCAGGTCGCTCATGAGCGCGGCAATCATCACGGCCATCATGAGGCCCCGCAGACCGACGGGCACGAGCTTCATCACCAAACGCGGGTAGGCAATGTTAGAGCAGCCAGCTCTGCTGCCGCACACTTGGAAGCAGTGCTCTGGATTAATGCAGGCGATATCGTCCGCAAACAGGATCCGGGAAATCATCCCTGGGACGACTATAATAAACATTGGCAGTAACTTTAAGAAGCCTGCCATCAGAGTGGATCCTTTGGCATGAGCAATGTTTTTGGCTGCTAAAACTCTCTGCACTATGACTTGGTCGGCACACCAGTACCAGACAGAAGCTGGAGTCTGTCCCAGCAGAAATCCAGGCCAGGGAATATCTTCATCCGTTGGCTCGCGCAACATTTTAAGTGCATCGGGCTTTGGGTCGACATTGCAGGAATTGGTATTGGAAATGTTGTAGGTTAACAAGATAGACGTAATATTTGGTGATGCTAACATGTACCTTTTTTTCACTTCTTCAAACCCACCAACCTCCGTGATACTTATGATCATAAGTGTGAGGGCACCAATAATCATAAGCAGAGCTTGAAGCGTGTCTGTGTAGATGACAGCCACAAGACCTCCAGTCACAGTCAACAGTGCAGTCATTCCGATAAGGAGGATAACCGACAAATAGAGGTTCCAACCTAGCGATTCTTGGATAAAAAGCGCCCCTGAATACAAGTCAACTGAAAGTTTGGTGAAGATATAAAGAATTAGAGACAGTGCTGCAAAATATATTTGAATTCTATGCCCTCCAAAACGCTTGGACAAGTATTCAGGCATGGTGTATACTCCTGACCGGATGTAGACAGGGACGAAGACCCATCCTAAAAGCTGCAAAAGCATTAAGGCGTTGAATTCCCATGCACCTACTGCAAATCCACTCGCCGCTCCAGATCCTGCGAGCCCAATGAAATGTTCACTTCCAATATTGCTCACAAATAACGATGCACCGATAGCTACCCAGGTCATAGAACGCCCTGCCAAGAAGTAGCCACTCACGGTGCTCCGATTGTATTTCCACATGGCAAAAAAACCTATGCACATCACCAGCACGAAGTACAGCGCCACAATGGCAATGTCTGCCGTCTCCAAAGAAGCCCTCATTTTTGTAAACCAAGTGACTTCGCACAGCTGACGTCCAGTTCTCGCCCCCCAGCAAACAGTCTCTTAAGCCACACGTGAACCAGTTAACATTTAGCAACACTGCGGATCAAATTCTTTGTCCCTTGGTTTGCTGTCCTGATGCTGGTGGTTGTGGTACATTTACTTTCTCCGCTTCTCAAATGGAAATTTGGAACTTAGCACGTACTTTTAATCCACATTCCACAAGAGCATCAGCCTTAACTCAGTTGATGTAGGAGAAATTCTTAGTTGCAGCTAAGTTTAGTGAGGCCTACTGTACCAACCCTGCAAGGCAGCAAAGACAAAAGACAAAGATTGAATTAGAGGAGAATTTCATGAAGTAATGAGAAAAAATTTGAAGTCTAGTACAACAATGACTGAACACCACAGACTTTTCCCCTTACATTTCCTGCTACATTTATGCAATCCATAATATACAACATTAAATATTCATGAGCCTACGAAGCAATGCCTTTTGTAAGTCAACTTTAATGTCATATACAAGTACCTTAAGGGACGCAGCAATTCTAGGGTATTGAGTGATCCAAACCCCCCCAAACAAGGCAAGAAACAAAAATGCATTTCAGTATTCGTTCCTTTTGGCTCCTGCAGGATTCAAGTCTATTTCTCAAGCCGCTCTAAAGGCCTTCCTCATTCAAGCAACTGCAGGAAAAAAGTCACTAGGGGCCGTTACCCTGGCGAGCCATTTCCCRGTTTGCTCAGCCCCTGCGTCCCACAAATCTTGACAGATTCTCATGTCGCCTGCGTGCACCTGAGACACCAGCCGGCTGCTATGACTAAAAAAATCAAAATGAAGTGATAATGATGCCAAGAGGGTAACACAGGCTTACGAGCAACTGGAGAATCAAAGGTATTCTGCAAGTTACAGACACGTTAGCATCCGTCTGGGTTATGGATTATCACAGGGTTCCRTCTGACTCGGACAGTTCTTCACAGATATTCCCCACAAGCTGAGCAAAGAAAAGAGCCGTTCGTGCCAGAATGSCAAAAGGAACGTCCTGACAACCGGCTCTGGGGTGCTCCCGCGTGCACCTGCTCGCTCCGCGATCCCTCGGGAGCTCCGGAGGGGCGCCAGCGGGAGAACCACATGGATTCGGGCAGCAGGCGGTCACTGGGATGTCGGGAGGCGCCGCTGCGCTGCCAGCCCCGCCTTCCAGGCGCGAGGCTGGSGAGGACGGCAGGGACGTGGGCAGGTTGTGCGGCCAAGCCCCGCTGCTCTGCCCCCCGCTGCCACCCCGCACTGCCAGAGCCGTCCAGGGAGCATCCGCGCTCGTTTAGCTAAGCGGGACTGAAGGGAGCGAAGCGGAGGGATGGGGGTCGTGAGGAGAGCCAGGGCGGCCCAGGCGGCAGCGGCGCTGAGGGGCTACGCTACGGCTCCTACTCCCAGYACTTCTGCCTTGGAAAACACCACCCATCCACACTCACCCAAGCCCATGCCGTGACCTCAGGGAGTGCTAGGCACAAGACTCCTCTCCGTCCTACAACAGATAGGCACAGCAAGGGAAGAGATGGCCAAGGCAAAGGAAAAGCGGAGTCTAAAGGCCGGAATGCTGATCTTCAGCACTCGCAGTTATCACAGAGCAGTTAGGAACTGGGTTTGACTCCATTCCCCTTTCCCCACCTGCTGGCAAAAATAGTGTAAGCACAAAAATCCCCGAGCCTCGCTCTGCCCACAGGGTCTACGAGAAGCGCTACCAACATCACCTTTAGACCCTGCCCTGCCATTCTGCACGCGTGTGTTTCCCTAACAGTTCATCTGTGGGCAACACAACCACCTGGGTACTGTACGTGAGTATCTGGCGTTTGCCTGTTTAGCATCCCTGTAGGAATTTTAAGGGAAAAAAAAAAGTTTAAAAACCCTATAGATTCTCAGGTGGCCCATAAGGGACTGGAGCTGCTGCTGACACAGACCCTGCCCACCTCGCTGCATGCCCTACCGAAGGCTGCAAAGGTGCTGATGCGAGAACGTGGCTTTCCCATTAAGGCAGATACATTTTTATTTTAAAAGCTTGCAGCAAGCCACAGCTTTGGCCTTAGAGAGAAATGCACAATCATGTTATTTGTACAAGCTGGCTGTTTTTCAGGAGGAGTTCAGACTCCGAAAAGGATAATAAGGGTTCCCCACCACCAAGCCACAGGAGAATACGGATACTCATCCTGCTGGAGCTATAGCCAATAATGACAGGCTGCAGAGACATGGCACAAAATGGGCTGATTACAGTTGTGCGCTAAATTTAACATGCTCATAAGCCTCAAACCACAGATGTATTTTAAATTCTTCCATAAAAGAATTCACATTTCTCGCCACCCGCAAAAGGCAGCAGAAGTTAAATGGTCTACTCCACGGTTTAGCTTAATCCATCGTAAAGTTATAAACACTTCAGATTGGGTGACGCCATCAGCTACAAGYAATGCAGTGCTTAGTTGTAACTGCTTTTGTGTAATATTTGAAAAGCAACTACTCTATAATGTTTATATCAAGCTTATAAATATTTTAAGGGAAGTAGAGAAAGAGATTTCACTGAGAAGCAGTGGAAAGAAAAATAACTACTACACATAAAATTAGAGTAATGGGCAAGCTAAAATTTTTTAAAATATCTGTATTGTCCCTCTCCTACTGACCTGTTCTGTTTCTGAAATATTCTAGTTTTGAACTTAAGTTCAATTCCAAACTTCTTCCCCCCAAGCTAGTCAGTGACCTTGCAAACAATACTATAATATAACCTACTTAAAAATTTGGGGGTTTTATTTTATGATACCCTATTTGATGCAAGAGGTTCCCAGCGTGTAGTATGGATATTACAAGCACATTCCGTCCCTCTGGAAGGCATGTAAGTAGAAGATGCGACTGCCCATAAATAAATGGTGCATTTCTCAATTAGGACACTTTGCCAAACAACTACGGGCTCAATTTAACCAAAATAAACAATACAGGAAGAAGTCTGGCGCTTTCCACTGGAAGGCAAAGCCAAACCATTTTAAATAAGCAGTTGTCTCGAGTCCTGAACCATCACCTTTGCAATAAATATCCCAAATTTGCAGGGTTCAGCTTGCTTAGGCAGGAAGGTGGAAAGTTTTCAGTAGCCGCTATAAATTTGCTGCACCGTCGCTAAATCACTGTACTGAAGTGGCCTCTTGTACCAGTTTCTTATTAGACCTAATTCTAAAATAATCCTAGATCTTTTTTCATCACTAAAATGAGACTCATCCCTCTGAACTTCCAGCAAGTTATGACCTCAAGTCTTAGGAAGGACTTTGGAGACGCCCCATGCGAGTTTAATCTCAAGTTATTAGAACAGTGTAAGCTGTGGCACTGACAGAAAAAAAAAAAAAAAAAAAAAAAA